AAAAGAAAGAGAGAGAGAGAGAAGAGAGAGAGAGGGAGGGAGAGGGAGAGGGAGAGGAAGAAAGAAAGAGAAAGAGAAAGAAAGAGAGAGAAAAAGAAAGAGAGAGAGAGAGAAGAGAGAGAGAGGGAGGGAGAGGGAGAGGGAGAGGAAGAAAGAAAGAGAAAGAGAAAGAAAGAGAGAGAAAAAGAAAGAGAGAGAGAGAGAAGAGAGAGAGAGGGAGGGAGAGGGAGAGGGAGAGGAAGAAAGAAAGAGAAAGAGAAAGAAAGAGAGAGAAAAAGAAAGAGAGAGAGAGAGAAGAGAGAGAGAGGGAGGGAGAGGGAGAGGAAGAAAGAAAGAGAAAGAGAAAGAAAGAGAGAGAAAGAGAAAGAGAGAGAGAGAGAGAGAGAAAGAGAGAGAGAGAGAGAAAGAGTGAGAGAAAAAGAGAGGGAGACAGATTGCCGATTAATGCAGATGTTTATAATCAGGTATAACTGTATATCAGGCATAACTGTATCGATAAAGCCCGGCGCGCACGTGAGTAATTTTACTCAAGTAAAATGATGCATGCGTCAAAATACTCAACGAAAATCCGCCGCACACGTGAGTATTTTGACGCATGCATCATTTTACTTGAGTAAAATTACTCACGTGTGCGCCGGGCTTAACATTTCTACGAAGGAGTGAATAAATAACTATCCAATATCGCGTGCACCCACCTCCAAACGCTGTGCCCTTCCACACTCTACCAGTGATGAGTTGGGATGGATGCGTGGATATGTCGGTAGGAGAGAGACCGATGATAACCGACTCTCCCCATCCCTTGTGGCAAGACTCCAGTGCTGCCCTCTATGAAAAAAATAAATAATTAATATAATTACACATAAAAAAAAAATTTATACTAGCCGAGTATAACCGGCGTTGATCGGGAAAAAAACGCGTAGGAACTTTTAGAGCCAATTTTTCCCCACATATATTTACTTAATTCTAAGGATAGAGTCGTAACAGAGAAACAAAATATGAAGAGGTAAACAATATTCGGACAAAAGCAGTTCGAAGGATTCTATGAATCTGTGTAGTGAAAGCTTCTGGGTGTATCCTACAACATTGTTATGCAATTGCGCCAAGTTATTATGAATATGCCTCTCTGGTTTTGGAAGCCTCATCTCGCCCTTTAAATACACAATTGGTGACATCTGCCACGTGTCTCTCTTATCATTGGGATTCGCGTTACATCAATATAATACATAAAAACTCTCATTAGTATTTGAAATAACTGCGTATTAAGTATTGAGAATCCAATTGGTATATCTGAAAAGTTGACAATTCGACTAACAACCAGCAGCATCCAGATGAGACGGGATACCAGAGAAGTCTTCCTGACAGGATGTGCTGATCGTAACTGCTGAGCGGGGATCTTGCGCGCAGTTCTGCGGGAAGGCGCACGCGGCCGCGGGAACGTCGTACGAAAGTATGCAGCGCTGGCAGCTATGGATCCGTGCGCCCAATGCATAGGTCGGCGCACGGATCCATAGCTGCCAGCGAACAGTCGTGAATTTTACCGGGGCACACAGAGGGCAGGCATTTGGGACGTGAGAGGAACTGGCGACTTAGATGGGGGATGGTAGAGAGGGGGGGGGTGAGAGCGAAGCTTTTCATTTTGCGGTCATCCATGTCATACACAATATGACAGGTATTATATTATATGTTTTATGTTTTATGTTATTTTTGTTTTATTTGTGGGTTTATATTATTTGAAACACACTGACGCACGCACTCAGCCACGCACACACACATACAAACAGATACATGCACTCATACAAACGTGTGTGCGGGCGTGCCTGCGTACGTACGTGCGTGGGTGTGTGACTGCGTGCGTTCATACATGTATCAGTTTACTGACTTCTTTACAGTTTCAAAACCGCATACGGCGAAATGGGTGTCATAGAGATTTATAGTGCACCGGACATTTTCGCACGCATGCTCGGCCGTACGCAATGCTAGCGATAGTACAGTACCGTAACTGTATACGTAACAGTAGCTGTGATTGTAATGAACGTGGAATCCACGTACGAATCACGGACGCTCGTGATAATGAAGTAGGCTGTGTTGGGGGCCAACACTATGGGGGGATCGCGGACTAACCACGGCCACAGGGGGGCCAACACTATGGGGGGATCGCGGACTAACCACGGCCACAGACTAACATGGAAAGCAGACGGCACTACGCGTATTTACGTTTATTGGTCAAACGAATACACGTGTGTCCGAAATTGAAGACATGTGACAGTGGGTACCCGTTGATTAGCACCCACGGTTATTTACTTGTGCCTGAATACCGAGAATACACCCAGAGATACATTGTACTAGCTCATTAGTCGTTATAAGCATCCCGGGACAAACAATTCTCTGCTGAACACCCGTAGCAACATGTCACGTGACGTAACCGAATTCAAGACTATTTTGCTTGGCAACCAATTTAGCGTTGGCGCCAGATTACCAGATTTCAATTAGACATTTCTTAGTAATTAGCAGTGATATTGGACAAACTAATACGAGTTTGGCTATAAGGTAATAATGTACTAATTAACCAAAGAAGGTGCCAGTTACTGTAGCATTCGTCAACTTTGCATAATCAATGGGCCTATTATGCCTTTAAGTATACAATTTCGGACTACATTTCAATGTTTAGTAAAAATGACCGCAGATTGAGTTTTTCATTTAGCAAATTTCCTTTGCAGGAAAGGTAACGAAACGGACACATTTACTCTGCATGAGTGTTATCTCAGCCTTGTACTGCTTATCATGCACTGCTTTGTACTGTGTCACTGTGAAACTACTGGACATTGATATTTACATTTAGTGTAGATGAGTGTTATATCAGCCTTACAGATAGAAATAGTATGCAACTCGTTGCTCTTGACAATAATATATTCATATGAAAACAGGGAAAGAAGGGAGATTTTGTGCAGTTTCGTGTGAAATGCGACCGCACTGGTCCATTTCAGTGACTTTGTTATGATATCATTGTACACTATAGTATTATTTGCGCTAAGATATGTTACAACGCTTACACATGTGTGCGGTATGAACGTTGTTTTGTTTTTTGACATGGACAAATACATGGCAATTTTATATAGTACACAGTTAGGTTAAGGGATAGCGATCATGTCCAGGACGGACACGACAGTAATGAAGATCATCGTATCGTATGAGCGACTACCAAGAACAACATTGTCGAATAACTATAATAATTATGTTTAGGAAATGTTATGTTTATGAAATGTTATCTCACCGATGAAAAGTAATCGTTGCTGCTTTTGACTCCTTAGATCTAACAACGTTACAGTTGTATGCACTACAATACGTTGGCATCATATATGGATGGATGAAATCTCGGCAAGTATATGCAGATCGGAATATCGAGAAATGCACTGTGTTGTGCTATATATATATATGGTGTAACTATGACGTGATCATGGGAAAGATGACAACATCCGGTGTCTTAAGATGGATACGGAAAAGTTCAAGCGAAAGTGACGATTGCAGGGCACTAGACTGGTAGCCACCTTCACTCCCGCAAGTATCCTTGGTTACACTGAACATAGTTAGTGTAGCGTCTGAAACTGTCCACCGGGTACCAGTCTAGCTTAGCCAGCCAAGCCGTGTGCAGAAAAACGAGGTGAAAATACTATGAACATTGCCTCGTTGCGCCATCTATCGCACGCCATATGTACAAGAATAATGTAAGGGCGTGAAACGGAAAAAATTGAAACTCGCTTTTCTAGAAAACAAAATGCGCCGAGCAGCAAACCAACAATTACGACCATTTCTAGGAAATGTCTAGCTACGTGCGTAGTGAAAAGGTTTGTGGAATCGCCACAACTACTGAAATGACCAATTATACGGCTTTGGTGTATACCCAAATGGACCTGGGTAAGGTGTTGGAAACAATGCAGCGAAGTTGTGTTAGAGTGCCGCTACACGGCGTTTTTCGCGCTTCGCGCGAAATCCGGGCTGCCAATTGTCTAGTGAGTGCACAATAGAAATCACAAACGGAATATGCTGGTAAAGACTCTCACTTATATTGTACAATAATGAAACATAGATTAATGAACTAAACTAAATACATAGGTCAATAAACTAACCCCGTCAATATAGCACGATATCAGATCCGGGTATAAACACAGAGTTTCCAACTTGGTTCTTTGTTCTTCTAGCTTGTAATGCAGTATGCAGTATATTAATGCAGTATCTGTATGCAGTATATTAACTTTTTTCTTCTTCTTGCTTCTAATGCAGTATACAGTATATTAACACGACATGTTTTGTAAAACTTTACTCTAATATAGACGTTTTATCGGCAGGTTGGAGAGGAAATACCAATTTTGCATTAAAGATATTGTCAATGAAATCTTGTAAAACGAACCAGACGATTGTGACACCACAGACTGTTATCTGCGTGTCTATAACATAATATGCTATGTAATTGCCAAAACTTACCTAATTTGCATAATTTTTTATATATATCAAAACCCCTGGCCCTTATTCATTCACATACCAAAAATGAGCAAAATCCGTTGAACCTGAACTGACTAATGGCAATTCCCATTTTTGCCAAAAAATTTCCGTGGCTCGAAAGTACGTCGACTGGCGTGCTCGAAAATAGGACGTTCAATATGGGAGCATAGCAGTAACAACTATACCCAATTTCAAACATGTGGGTCAAACGGTTCCTTAGTTATCGTTGACTATTAAATCCTTTTTGAATGTAGGGAAAATGTCACTACTCCACTAACTATGATCTTTGAGCAGACATTACTAAGAGGTACCTTTCCCCAAGAATGGAAAGTTGCTCATGTATCACCTATCTTCAAAAAGGGCGATAAAAAGCAGCCCGGAAGCTACCGCCCGGTGAGCCTGACTTCAGTGATTTGTAAACTGTGTGAATCTATTGTGAGAGACCACATTATGGAATATATGAACATCAACAACCTTTTTTCACAACAACAGTATGGCTTTAGGCCACGAAGATAGCCTGATATATACCTAGATTTTAACAAAGCTTTCGACACTGTGCCTCACAAGAGATTAGGAGCCAAGCTTAGGTCCTACGGTATAGACGGCAAACTGTGGTTGTGGATCATGGACTTTCTAGGATCGGTTGATTCAAAGGTCAATACCAGCTATAGACAACAGCGCGTCTCATATAATTCAGCGCAATCAGAATGGAGAAACGTAGTAAGCGGGGTACCCCAGGGTAGTGTGCTAGGTCCAGTGCTATTTCTCATATGCATAAATGACCTGCCAGAAGTTGTAAACAGTTATGTTAAAATAATTGCAGATGACACGAAACTGTTCGATGCCGTTTATGACGAAAAACAGTGTGAGCAAATACAAGAGGATTTAGACAAACTGTGTGACTGGTCAGATAAGTGGCAGCTGCGTTTTAACATGGGAAAGTGCAAAGTTATGCATATTGGAAAGAACAATCCAATGTATTGCTACACTATGAAGAAGAATATGGGAAACACCATTGTGAAACAGGATGTTGAAGAATGTGATCTGGGGGTAACGTTTGATAGCAGCTTGAAATTTGAGAAACAAGTGAGGAAATGTGAGGCAAAGGCAAACAGAATGGTAGGCTTGATAAAGCACTCATTTGACCATATGGACAAGGATATGTTTCTTTCCTTGTACAAATCACTAGTCCGTCCGTTAATGGAGTATGAAACGCCAGTATGGTCACCGTACCTGAAGAAGGTCATTCGTCTGCTGGAGAAGGTACAGAGAAGGGCATCAAAATTAGTATGTGACATAAAACACTTGTCGTACAAGGGGATGCTTAT